CCAAGTAGTTTTTATCCGTCTACTAAATAACGTCTTTGCAGTTCACCGTGACTTCCTTCGACTGCTGCAAAGACTGCCTGGTTGGTTTCATCAGCATAGGCCCCACCTCTGTCAGTTCATCTTGTGGATCGCAGACGGCTTCATCTTCCTGAAGCTCCTCTTCCACAGTTCCACTTTCCTGCTCTAAAACTTTTCTTTTCTTTCTTTTTTTTTTTTTTTTGAGACAGTCTGGCTCTGTTGCCCGGGCTAGAGTGCCGTGGCGTCAGCCTAGCTCACAGCAACCTCAAACTCCTGGGCTGAAGCAATCCTCCTGCCTCAGCCTCCCAAGTAGCTGGGACTACAGGCATGCGCCACCACGCCCAGCTAATTTTTTTTTTTGTATATATATATATATATATATTTTAGTTGTCCAGATCATTTCTTTCTATTTTTTAGTAGAGACGGGGTCTCACTCTTGTTCAGGCTGATCTCGAACGCCTGACCTTGAGCGAGCCACCCGCCTCGGCCTCCCAGAGTGCTAGGGTTACAGGCGTGAGCCACCACACCCGCCCTAAAACTTTTCTTAAAAGTTTTGCTGAGATATAACTCACATGCCATACAGTTCACCCATTTAAAGTACACAATCCAATGGGTTTTAGACTAGTCACAAAGTTGTGCACCCACAATTTTAGAACACTTTTGTCACTCCAGAAAGAAACCTCGTACCCCTTAGTTGTCATCCTCTAAATTCCCTCTTCCCCAGCCACTGGCAACCACTACCCTACGTTCTCTCTATGGATTTGCCACTTCTGGACATTTCTTATAAATGGGGCCTTACAATATGTGGCCTTTTGCCTTTGGCTTATATCCCTTAGCATGATATTTTCAAAGTTCATCCATGTCGTAACATGTATTATACGTCATTACTTTTTATTGCTGAATAACGTTTTATTGTGGGAACATGCCATGTTTTATTTATCCAGTCAACCGCTGGTGAGCATTTGGGTTGTATCTACTATTTGCCTATTATGCATAATGCCACAATGAACATTTGTGTACAAGTTTTCACATGGACATACGTTTTTATTTCTCCTGAATATGAACCTGGGAGTGGAATTATTGGATCGTAACTCTGTTTAACTGTTTGAGGCCAAGAAATCTTAAATGCTCCTTAAACTCCTCAGTCTAGTTTCCAAGGCCATTTCCATCTGCTCTCTGTTTCTGCTATTCTGAATCACAAACCAGCTGCTTCTGCCAGCCGGGCGCCCCGCTGCAGTCTGAACTGCGTGTGGAGGCCTCTGCTGTCTGTTCCCCCAGCCAGGATGTGGCCCGGGGACAGAGTCAGCCCCCACACACATTACTTTGAGACACACATTATTTTAAAAAATCCAAATTATTTGTGCACGTTTAAAAATCATGACAGATTATATTTAACAATACAAACTTTTACATTCTCCTGAAAAATTGAAAGATTTGGCCATCCTGGGCCCACACTCCTGTGAAGCACCACCTGACTGCAGCTAAGGTGTGTAACTGTCCACACGAGGGACACCAGCCTTACCCCATCCTACCGGGACACCTGCCCCGGTAAGCACTGGAGCCCAACCTCTGACCTAGGCCGCTCCTTCCAGAGCTCAGCTCAGCTGGCTTCTTCCTCCATCCCTGGGCTCTGCTTCTAAGAGCCAGCTGTGCTTGTGCCGCTCAGCTTCATGCAGAGTTCACCATTCTTTTGTGGTGGGGTAGTAGGAAATTAAAAGGGAGATGTCTTGGTGGTCAGGATTGCAGGCTCTGGGGCCAACTGCCTGGGCTTGAATCTCATTTTTACCTCTTTACCAGCTGTGCGACCTTGGGCAAGTTACCTAACTTCTCTGAACCACAGACTCCTTACATTCTAACACGAGGGTGTTAATAGATCCTCCTTATTATGTATCATTATTATGAGGAATAAATGGATTAATACACATATATTGTGATTATCATTATTATCTTTTTCTTGATGTCTTCTCAACAATATCATAAGAACTTGGAGGACCAGAACGCTATGGGGTTAGGGGAGCTCAGCCTTTGTTTTCTTGCACACTTGCCATTTTCGTTGCATGATCCAGTTGGACTGTCTGCTCCTTTCAGGGTTAGCATCCCTGGCCACAGCTATGCCCTCAAGCTCCGGCTGAGAACAAAGCAGTCAGGTTTCTGTCCCTGGGGATGAGGGTGCCTTTCTGCCAGCGGCCGCCAGCTTCATTTCTTGCCCCGCAACACCGGTGCTACTGTCGGGAACAGCATATTGGGCTGGACTGGGGCAGGTGATTCTACTGGCTGGGACCCGGTCCTGCTTGCTGTGCGGCCAGCCCGAGGGAGCCGCTGCCAGCCGGCCAGGGCAGGCGGCTCAGGACTGGCCCCCAGCCAGGGTGGCCGCTGGGAAGGAGTGTGCTGGGCCTGGCAGGAATGAACAGGATCCACTATTTTTTATCTGTTTGAATTAAATATTAACTAGATACTGTGTAAAACTAATGTTTACAAAATACATGTAAGATATATAGAGCTATGATATAACAAACACCAGTGCACCTAGCACCCAGTTTTTATAAAAGAACTTCATCATCTCTGTGTGTCCCTCCCCAAATTCTCTCATTTCTTCTCCTTTACTATTCCAAATTTTGGGCAGATTATTTCTTTGCTTCTCTTTATTATTTTTGTATATGTCTGATTCCCTAAACAATCTTGTTAAATTTTGAAGAAGAGTCATACTGTATGTGTCCAAGTGGATCTTTTTGTCTCTTTGGGGTAATCGATGCAGACCTGCCTTCTATGAGCTGACTCTTTGCAACTGTTTCTAATCCGTAAAAGCCATCTATTGAATTTCTAATTTCCAATTATATTTTTCATTCATTGAAATTCTGTTTATTCTGATCACTTTATATCCTATTTTCACATTAATTTTTATTTTATCAAAGTAATCATGTTTCTTTCTCATATCAGGTTTTTGAGATTTATCCACGATGACGTGTGTATCTTCATTCTCTCTGCTGCCGCTGTGTGAGTAGCACTGTATTAGGAGCCGGGGATGCAGCTTTGGGAAGGTAGATACAGTTCCCACTCTGATGGAGCTTCAGGTGTAGTACGGAAGAGAGAAACAGGTGCTGAATTACCGTCAGGTGGGCTAGGAGACGACAGGGCCCCTCAGGAGGGGTAGGCCGAAGCTCCTGGGAGCTGAGAACTTAAGGATGGGTAGGAGTTTGCCGGGCGAGCAGACCGATCCCATGTTACAGATATGCACGCAGAAGCATGTGAGAAATGTCGCTCTTCATGTCATGACGTCGGGCTCTCTGGGTGCATAAGGCATCCATGGACTTCGGTGTTTGCAAGGCAGTGGCATGTGATCATCGCGTGGTGTGCACTTGAACCCTAAGCTTTGAGACTGTTGTGTGCATCTGAGTCCCTGACAATCGGCGCTCACATTGCAGGGAGCCTTGGAGGAGGGAGCGGAGTGGAGCACGCGGCTGACCAGCTGCTGACCCTGCCCTGACCAGCCCTGGCCATCTGCCTCCCTCCCAGCATGCAGAGCCGGAGTGACGGTGGCGCCCGCTGCGGGGGGTCTTTGTGAGTGTGGGGAAGAGTGGCCCATGGCCGGGGCTCAGCGCCGTGCCAGGCCCGCAGTCAGCATCAGGCCTGCGTGCTCCGTGTCCAGGAGCTGCTTCCTTTCACCCTCACAAGAACCCTGTGCACCTGCCAACTTGACGTCTCCACCTGGATGTCTTAAGCTTAAACCTACTAAAACGGAATGCGTGGATTTCCCTCCATAAAGCCGCTTCTCTCCCAGCCTTCCCATGTCTGTAAATGCCACCACCGTCCGTCCCACTGCTCAGGCCCCAATTCCAGGGGTCGTCTTTGGGGCCTTCTTTTTGCTCAGGCTCTTCCTGTCTATCAGCAAGTCCAGTCAGTTCTGACTCTGGGGTGCATCTCCCCTTCCCTCCGACCCCGCTGCTTCAGGAGTGCTCCTGCTTTAGCGACACTTTCCTTCAAGCCCTGTCGTCTCTCCTCTGGGCAGCTGTGTGGCCTCCTCCTTGGTTTCCCTGCTTCCACACCCATTCTTCCCCAGCAGGACAGGGACTCATACGGATTAGATGTCCTCTTCTCGTACTTCGCACCCTCCAGGGACCTCCCCTGGAGCTTAGACACAAGGCCAGCCTCCTCGCCACACCCTACTGGGCCCCTGGACCCCCCGCCTCATCTCCTCCCCTCCCTCTTGCTCATCTCCATCCGGACCAGCTCGCCAAGTTCTTTCCTGCCTCGGGGAAAGGTCCCTTGCACTTGAAGGTCTTGCAATTGAGGGTCCTTTCATCTTGCACTTGAGGGTCCCTCCTTCTGAGATGCTCTCTCCCTGGCTCTTTGCAGGGCTGACTCTTCAGGTCTCGGAGGGGCTTCCCATTACCTTCTGTCACAATCGGTCTCTAGTTTTATTTCCTTCCTTTTTTCTCCTTCCCACTTTCCCTCCCTTCCACTTCCCTGCACGTTGCCTGGCACATAGTATCGGGGTGGCATTTGTTAGCCCCCCCTAAGGGCGGGACGCAGAAACAAAATTCAAACAACCTGCCCAAGATCACACACTAGTAAGTAGCAGGCAGACTCGGGGGTCCTCACTGCAGTGCGGCAACCTCCCGCTGCCAAACTTTGTGCCGGCCGGTGCCTGGGGAGGGCAGGGCAGGGCAGAGGGCCGGCCACACACCTACAGGTGCAGTCTGGCCTTCGCTGGGGCTGGAGCCTTCCCCGCGCACGTGCCTGGAGAGGCCCTAGGATTTGACACCTTCTCTTAGTAGAATGGGTCTCATAGAAGGGAGGCGGCTCCAAGATGTCCCACCCTTCTCTTGTTGAGGTTGCCTCTGGTGTGCATCATTTTGGAGGCTCTTTGGACTGTGGAATGAAGGTGCAGGACCATTGTGGGGGGTGGGGGTCTTGGTGAATCTCAGCTTGGGGAAATCGGACGCGTTGGCCCCTTCATGACATCCCACCCCTACCCCGCTCAGGTCGCACCAGCTTCTATGAGGAGTACGGCGTCATTCGAGACATCCTCCAGAACCACCTGACCGAGATCCTCACGCTCGTGGCCATGGAGCTGCCTGACGACATCAGCAACGCGGAGGCCGTGCTGCGGCACAAACTTCAGGTCTTCCAGGCGCTGCGGGGCCTGCAGAAGGGCAGTGCCATCGTGGGCCAGTACCAGACTTACAGCGAGCAGGTGCGCAGAGAGCTGCAGAAGCCAGACAGCTTCCACAGCCTGACGCCGACCTTTGCAGGTGGGCCCTGGACCCGGGTGGGGCCGCTGGGTTCCCCTCACGCCCAGCTGCAAGCAGCTTTCCAGACCCACGTGCCCTTTGGTTTGGGGTGGATGGGACTTGACCTGGGATTTTCACAAGGGTGCTCAGTGGCAAGGATGATGTTCCCCTGCCTCTCTGGCCTTCTGCCTGCCTAAAGCAGCAGGTCACCTGTTGTCGCTGTCCGGGGGAAGGACATCGCAATGGCTCCCTTCTGGCATCAGCCCAGTTCAGTCCAAGTCCGAGATGTGTCCTGAGGGTTTGCTGGGCAAGGCTCAGCCCCGGTTCCTGCCCTCACGGGGCTCACTTCTGGCCCCCCATGTGAGGGTGCAGACCTTCTGCCCGGCCTCAGCTGGACACACTCCAGTGGGCGAGCACCACGCTGGTCAGGCAGATGGCAGGGCGTCCTCTGACAGTTGGAAAGGCTCAGAGCTTTCTGGGGGAGGGAAGCTCCCCAGCAGGTAATAAGCACACACCAAGAGCCGCACTATGTGCTGGGCACTTTATCTCACTTAATCCCCACGTGCAGAAGCCGTGGGGTAGGTACATTACTGTCCCCCTTTCATAGTAAGGAAACGTGAGGCTTAGTGAAGTTATGGAAGCTAAACCAGGCCCAGAACTTGGGCGTGGGTCTAGTCAGTGTCTGGCTCTTACCACCATGTCCCCTGTCCACCCACAGCCCCCTCACCCTGCACACCACCC